AACTGAATTCTACCAACAACCCAAGAGCTTGAATTTGAATCCTTGCTTAGTTGAGCCTTCAGACAAGACCCCAGCCCTGGCCAACACCTTAATTACAGTCTTGTGAGAGACCTTAAAGCAGATGACTCAGCTAAGCTGTGCCTGGACTTCTGACCTACAAAAACTGTGACATAATAAACGTGTGGGGTTTTTATTTTTTTAGCTACTAAATTTGTAGTAATTTGTTATGCAACATTATATGACTACTATATTCTTTCTCTCTGGAAGCTTTAAAAACATTTTCTTTTTGATATTCTTAATTTTCACTATTTTTAAGTGTTTTTTTTTTTTCTTATCTCCCGTACTCATTTCTTTATTGCACTTTTTATCTGACATCTTTCTACTTTCTTTAATCCTGGAAAAATAGTTTTTATTTTTAAAAATGTTTTTATTTTTCTCCCTCTGCAACTCCTATTATCCAGATATTGACACTTCTACCTCTATCTTACACAAATAACTTCTCTTTTAATATTTGCTTTCTTGGGGCTGGCCTGGTGGCATAGCAGTTAAGTTCACGTGCTCCACTTTGGCAACCCAGGGTTCATTGGTTTGTATCCTGGCCGCGGACCTACGCACCACTCATCAAGCCATGCTGAGGCGGCGCCCCACATTAAGCAACTAGAAGGATGTACAACTGTGACATACAACTATCTACTGTGGGTTTGGGGAGGAAAAAAGGAGGAATATTGGCAACAGATGTTAACTTAGGACCAATCTTCCTCAAAAAAAAGTTAAAAAAATATTTACTTTCTTTTTATCCTTTCTTACTGTCCTTCAACATTTTCGTCAATCTGTTCTCTCAGGTCCCTAAGTTTACTTTAGCTGTATGCGTTCTACAATTTATCTCATCTAGTGTGTTTTTTATTTTAACTTATATATTTCAGACCTAATATGTTCATTTTGTTCTTTTTTGTGGTTTTCCTTGATATGATTTCATATTACTTTAATTTTCCTTATAATCTTAACTTGATTGATAATGCATATTTAAAATTTTTATCTCTCCTAGTAACTCTTCTTCAGATTGCATTGTGTTTCAGTCATTCCATTTGTTTTCTTCTGGGATAGTTGTACATCTTAAGTTTTTAATTACTCTGATTTGTGACGTCATATTCTCCTGTTGGTTTTGGCTGCTTTACCTATAATGCATTAGCTGCATTACCAGTAATGTGTTTTGGGCAAGGGCCAAAGGCCTGACCCTCGTCTATGTGATTTTCCAGTAAAATTAAGGAGAGGGAAGATAGGTTGAGCTCTAGGACAGAGAACTCTAGGTATCCCCAAACCAGTTAGTCATTTCCACTTGCTGCCTCCTCAAAAATCAAGTCCTCTGGTCAGGGTTTCACTGGACTCAAAGAAGGTGGAATTTTGGAGGAGGCTGTGTCCCTAGGCTCTAATGGATAAGCCTTAAGATTCTGAGGAAAAGGGAGATGAAGAAATGAATGCCTGAGTCTAGTAAAACTAACCTATTTGATTCAACTCCTCACCTCAGCAGTGCTCTTTCCTGACCTGATATTACTGTCAGGAACACTTGCACCAGGTATCTGGACTACTTCTTTAAATTTCTTCTGAGTGGACACACATTGATTGTCCACAGGCAATGTGGGAGAGAGACAACAGAAATAACTTAAAACTGCCATCTCCAAACTCTTCTTTCACTGTGTCCTCTGACTGTGCTCCACCCCAGACTGCAGCTACCTTCTTACCTGGCCACACACATTCATCATTTTAACACAGTCTTCGGCTCCCTCAGTTTTCAAAATTTTTATAATTTAGAGAAAGGAACCAGCAGCTTACAGTAGTCTATCATTGTAGCAGAATTCAGCAAGTATTGTATTATAATTGTTCATAATGCTTGCAAAGAAAAATCCCTGCTGCATTTATAGTTATAGTTATTTTCCCCATTTCATTCTGTAATTTGCTTACTTGTATCTCCTCTCTTTTTTGCTTGATCAATCTTGCTACAGGTCTATCTCTATTATTGATCTTATCAAAGAATCAGCTTATGGCTTTGTTCATTTACTGCATTATTTTTGTTGTTGTTATATGCTTCACTTATTTATTCTTATCCTTGTTTCTTTTGGTTTTCTGTTGCTTTTTTCCATACATCTTAAATTGAATGCTTAACTCATTTGTTTTTAATATTCTTATTTTATGACAAATGTATTTAAGTCACTTAATTTCCATTATTTCATCTTTAATCCAAGAGTAATAGGTAATTTAGTTTCTAAATTTCAAAGTTATTCTTTATTATCTGAATTGCTCATTTAATCAATTTATGGTTGGAGAACACAGTCTGTATAGTATCAATCCTTTGGAGCCATCAGGTCTTTCTTTCTGGCCTAATACATGATTTATTTCTATACATACTCTATGAATGCTCAAAAATAATCTTAACTATTTAATGAGTGGAAAGTTATCTACATATCTAATAGCTTGATCGGCTTTATTATATTGTTTAGAAATTTGATATGTATGCCTATTTTTTGTCTGCTTCATCTATTAATTTCTCAGAGATGTGTGTGTGTAAAATCATCCTCTAGATTTGCTGACTTATTAATATACTCATTTTTGTCAGTTGTTGCTTAAATTTTTTACTCTATCTTTAATAAGATCTATATTTTAATATGCTCTAATTTCTTTTTGGTCTCATTCTCATCCCTTTATCAGTGCTATGTTATTCTCTGTGCATCAGTTTCTTCATCTGTATATAATAATTTTTTTAGGAGTAAACAAGCTAATATTTGTAAAGCACTTAGAACAGTACTTGGCACATAGTATTATATAAGTGTGTGGTTTGTATAATAATGGGTAGAGGTGGTAATTGAAGCCATGGGCATGGTTGAAATCACTTGACGAGACAGGACAGTTTGACAAAATAAGAGGATTAATGACCAAGATTTAAGGAACTCTTTTTATTTAATGTATGAGAAAGGAGGGATAATCTTTCAAAAGAGACAGAGAAGTAGTAGACAAAAAGGTAGGAGGAAAACCAAAAAAGTATATTGCCAATGGCATCAAGAGTAAAGGAATAATTAACAGTGCCGCTGAGTAAAGATTTGAATGAATGTGAGATAAACAGCATCAACTACAACAACTGAATGAGTGTTTTTTGTTTTTTTCAGGGAAACTGTGTGTTAATAGGGAACGGCTGTTTTTTTTTTTTTTTTTGAGGAAGATTGGCCCTGAGCTAATATCTGTTGCCCATCTTCCTCCCTTTTTCCTTTTTTCTTGCCAAAGCCCCCAGTAGATAATTGTACGTCATAGTTGTACATCCTTCTAGTTGCTCTATGTGGGATGCCACCTCACCATGGCTTGATGAGCGGTGAGTAGGTCCACACCCAGGATCTGAACCAGTGAGCCCCAGGCTGCAGAAGCAGAGCAGGCGAACTTAACCACTATGCCACCGGGCTGGCCCTTGAATGAGTGGTTTAATGAGGACAGTGGATGCTGTGATGCGAACCTCCCTTGAAGAATGAAGGTCTTATTCCACCAGTGGCTGAGAGCGCTGCCAAAAGACATGCCTTAGCTATCAGCCTCCTTGGGTAATTGCCTTGGCTACAGAGATCCTCCTTGCCTAAGGTCATACACCCTTCCTTGGCAAAAACTGCATCCTCACTGGAGAAAACTTTGAAAGTCCATATTGGTTTTAGAGATGTGGGATAGGCTTTTCTGAGACTGGGCATCAAAACCTAACTTCTCCCTCTGCCCAATTTTGCTTCCTTTCCTTCCCTTCCAGATACATACTGATCCCTAATAAACTTTCTCATACCAAAGTCCATTGCAAGAGTCTGCTTCCCAGGGAAATCAATCTGTGATGAGTTTCATTTGGAGGAAGCACTGATGGATATGAGGAGAAGCTAGACTGCAAAAGATAAGAAATGAATGGTGAGAAAATGGAACAAGAGGGGCAACTTGTTCAAGCAACTTTGCTTTCACAGTAAGAGGATGACCAAAACTAAGACAGTATTAAGGGCTCACCATTCTGCCCCTTCTTTAGCATGGCAGATATCTGACTGAAAGATAAACGCCAGTTACACATACAGGATTCTATATCGCTGAAATTAACCTTCAACAAAGAATCAACAGTAGTTAAAAAGTATCTCTATCTGTGAATGTATTGGGACATTAAGTTCTTTAATCAGTATATCAGCTCATTAAGGAACTGAGGGAATGAGTAACCAGCATGTTGAAAAGACCAACATAAACGTTTAAACTGGCTACCTTATAGTAGTTTCCTAAATTGGAACACTGTGAGCCAGTTTACACAGGGACTGCCTATATCTGATAACACAGGGTCTTTTAAACCACTCATTCCACAACTTCCTTCTAGCCTCAGCTGAACTAGAATGTCTACTCCTTAATCAGAGACTGACCCTGTTTCTCAGATACGTGATTTAACAGCAGGAATCAAGAGACTTCTGAAAAGCTTTTCTCTGGAGATCCAAATAAAGATGCCAAAAAAAAAAAATAAGTCCACACGAGGAATGAAACTTTTAGAGAATGTACGAATTAATCATACGACAATACTTTTGAACAAGTCACGAGAGTCTTGAACAAGGAGAAGTCAGGTTAGAGGCAAAGAAAAAAAAACGAGAAAAATACTCAGGAAGTAACAAGAATACGGGCTGGGCACAGGCAGTTGTCTAAAATTTTCTCGCGCCACGAGTTTATGACGACTCCAAAATAGCCCTCCGACGTCTTTGAAAGCACTGGCAGGAGAGGAAAACTTACACCAGCAGCGAACACAAAGGCAGAAAATCTTCCATTGACCCCGGAAACATTTTATTTTGCGTAGGTATCCGGAGAATTTTGTTTTGCGATTCGTTACTTGATCCGGAAGAAGAGACAGCAAACATCACCTTTGATTGGATTGTATCATAAGGGCGGGGATTTAGCGAACCAGTCCCCTTGGCAACCGGATGTGACGAACCCGGAAGCCGCTGGCTGAGCTTCGCTACCGCTGGCCGCTTCGGTGGGCGGGGTCGGCCGAGCCTGCCTGGCGCGGTCTTCACCACTGACTCGGTACTGCTGGGGGCGGCGCTATTAAGGCCACGCCTCCCGCGCAGACTCTGGGTGACTGGAGCGATGTCGTAGTCTCTGGCGGGCGGGGACTTTGACCGATTCTCTCAGCCTACGGCTGGGCGGGCATCGTCAGCCGCCTAGGTTCTTCCGGTTTCTGGTGGCTGCGCCGCCTCCCTCCGAAGCCTGGGGATACGCCCTCCCGAGAGCCCGCTGTCGCCCTCCTTTCAGCATCGAACCCCTCAGAGTTGCTCCGGGGCAACTGCAGCCCAACATTCTCTCGCTGTGGTTCTCGCCCCTTGGAGGACCTCGGCCCCACACTGCCCACTTTCCTGGATGCGGTGGCCCCTCCCACCCTCTAAAATGTCCAATAACCTACAGAGGGTCTTCCTGAAACCCGCAGAAGAAAAGTCAGGCAACGCCTCGCGTTGGTAAGTACCGGTTTCCGAATCTCCCTCGACACACCCGCCCCTCGCCCGTCTCTTAGCAGGAAGTGGAGTCGGCCGTCGTTTCCTGCCGTTCAGCAATTCAGATTCGTTTGACCCCGCAGGGCGAGCCGCTCCAGGGGAAGTGCTCCTCCCTTGGGCGCTTAGAGCCTTTAGAGCGCATCCCTCTTGGAAACGTAAAACCTCCTCAGAGCTTCTGCTCTGGCTCCGCGGGACTCCAGCGTCTCAAGTTTCATAGGCGGACAGAGTAGATCTCCACGGGAGAGGAAAATCAACATGGCCGACGCTCCTGTGTGACCAAAACGTTCTGGAAGATTCTCGCGCACTCGCAGAAAAACACGCAGCAGTCGGCGCGGATTAGCAAGTGCAGCCCAGGTGGCGCTGGACCTTCGGTGAAAATAGCTATATTTTGAGACAGGTAGTGAGAAGGCAAGGATATGTTTCTGTGCAATTGATAAGAGCATATGAGTTTAGAAGCTTAAAATTTACAGTAGAATAAGGGAATCAAATTTTTTGAAATTTCAAATAGTTTTATATGAAGAGAAAGAAAAATAAAAATAGAGAAATTTTCACGTAAAATCAGTCCTCTGGAACAGCGAATTTGAAGCAGGTGTAATCAGAATGCCGTCTCTAGTAGGCAGTCTGTAAAGGAACTGTATTTGATGTGGGGGAGATGCCCGTATTTCTTAGACGTACTTATTTGTAAATTTAGAAAATAGTTTGTCGCTAACTCAGAAGATTTTTTTAAAAAGGTTATACTAAGATGAAATGGGAACAAAAGTGTTAGCTAAGGTAGAATATTTTGAGTTGTATTCTCCGTGGCTAGTAAGTGGTGAGAAAACAGTTAATGGGTCGCTGCAGAAGGAAAATGTGAAGAAGAAAGCGTGGAAATTAAGATGTAAAATTCATGGAAGAGGACTTAACGTTTGAAGAAAATCAGGCTGCTTAGGTTTAATCCTCGCGTTGCCAGTTACTGTTTGTGAGCCCAAGTGCCTCGGTTTCCAGTCCATACATAAGAGCACTTAGACATATTTTAAGGATTAACAGAATGAATATATGTGAAATACTTAGTTTAGGAAAGCACTATTTAAATGTTAGCTATTGTTGTTATAAGAATACAACTTTACTTGTGTACAAATTTTAGCCCAGGAAGTAGATTTCCTTTTATTACAAGTAGATACAAAACCGAATTGTAACAGACTTGTAAAAAGCATGCACAACATTCTGAAAAGAAATGGTCGGTAAACGCAGTGAGCTAAAAGAAGATCGAAAAACTTCCAAGAAAGAACTTTGTATTTCAGATCATAAAAAGAGCCAGCCTTTGCGTTACCTTGTTTCTTGGTTTATTTTTGATGGTCATTGGGGCGAGAGGCAAAGATAGTGCCCCGTATAGATATGCAAAAGTAGAATTGCTTTGTAATAATTGTTCATTTCTACAATGTTGTTTTAGTACCTGGATGTTTGATGACATTTGACTTACTCTGACTTAACAGTTTGTTTTAGGATTGCATTCTTTTTCAATATCAGAAATAAGATAGAATAAGAACTTTACATTTTTATTTATTGTGTACTTTAACTTTTATTCAGTTTCTAATCCTTTGGCTATCTATATTTGGCATTTTTTTAAACTTTAGAAATTGAATTATGTTACATTCATAAGTCGTTTGGAGTTCATTAATTCATTGGTTTATGCATTGTTTTTATCGTCTTTGAATGTGTTTATTTCTTCAAATCACTGAGGTTTTACATCACATATTTGGGACATTTGCCACATGCCTTTGTGAAGCTATTTGAATGATTTGGGTTATTGGTTGCATATTTGATTCTATTCTGTTTTATAAGTAGCAATGTGCATGACATCCACATATAATTTTGTAAATCGTTTGATTACTATCAGCCCTTTAGTTTATTGGAAGCTTAGTTTTCTTATTTTTAGTCTGGTATATTTTTGATGGTACTAAATCATTTATTTTCTTCATAAACATAAAATGGCTGTATGATTTTCTTATTTTCCTTAGATGCTTGAATTTATCTTGTTACTGCTTTTGTAAAATTTTTCAGTCATGTGATACAGAAGGTTTATTGTTTAAAGTAGTAATTCATCAGGACATAAAATATAAAACCCAAATTTAATCTTACAGTACAAAGGAAAAATCTAGAATATATTCATGATAGTAGGCATTGTTTATTTAGATTTGAGCTTTATTAGCAAAGAGCAAAGCAGGAGTCAGACTGGTGTAGTGGAAAGAAGGTAAGCTTTGGAATTACAGAGAAGTAGGTTCATATCCTAGTTTACCACTTATTGGTATAGTTCAATCATTTGGTTAAAAAACATTCGCTAATGTCTACACTATGTGATAGACTGTGCTAGATAGAGAGACTGACTAAAGAATAGGAAATGGGCCATGAACATGAAAAACCTTACAGTCTAGGGAGGAGATGGTATAATACATTTTTTTAATGGCGTTATGCACAGGATGCTGTGAGAGCATAGGAAAGGGAATTTTAGGAAAGGTTTCTGGAGCGGGTGAATTGGGGAATGTTAAGTATTAGCTATTCAATTAAAGATGAATGCAGGCTATGCCCAGTCAGAGGGAGTTGGTACATAAAGCACCAGTATGGCTTATAGCCAGCAACTGGTTTTTTTTGTTTGCTTACTACAAGCAGGATAAATAGATAGCTCTTAGAGTTTGGTTTGCCCTGTTAAAGAGATTAGACTTCATCTATTGGAGACTGTTCAGAGGATTTTAAGAAAAGGACTGTTATGGTCAGTTATGCATTTTAGGTAAGTGAAAACAGTGTGGATTTGGGGGTGAGGGATCAGACATATAAGAATTCTATTTCAGTTGTCCTTTCAGAGATTCTAAGGGCCCAAACCAGCTAATGTAGAGAATAAGGGTTGGATTCAAAGAAGTAAAGGAGGCAAAGTAGGCAGACCTTGTAAGTGAATTTGCGCAAAGAAAAGGGGAACAATTTTGATACTAGTTTTCTGGGTAGATATTGGTGAGCTAATTGGGATGAGGAACACACCAAGAAAGCAATCAGAGAGATATTTGAATCTGAAAGTTAGGCAGGGTCAGAGCCGAAAATAGACACTTGTGAGTCATCAACTTAGAAGTATTATAATAAAAGCCGGTGACAATACATCCCACAATAATAGGAATTAGGATGTCATGTGATTGGCAGTTGGCTTCTATCTACCCTTAACCCTTTCTTCTTAAATGAGTGTCTTCAGCCGGGGGCTTGATTTCATTAGAAACATTATGTTTCATTGTCAGTTCAGTGTGCATTTAGTTTTATATAGTGTAAGTGTTACTATCTTTGCTTTTGTGATTTGTGTTTGTGTGTAAGAGAGAGAGAGAGAGAGACAGACACAAATACCATACAGGCTAACTGAAATCTATTTCTCATTAATCTCTCAGTTTATGCAATTGAATTTTTTGGACCTTGTTATGTTGGGGTTATGTGACAGTAAATACAAGGAAGTGGATGGGATTGCCCAAGAGAGCATGTAATTCTGAATAAGTTATTTAATATTACTAAACCTCCTTTTTGTCAACTATAAAATGGGAATGGCAGTACCCACCTTGCTGGGCTGTTTATTAGGATTAGAGTTAATGACAACTATTTATACTAGCATACCTATTATGTATATAATATTATATGGTATATATTATTATATTATGTACTTATGTATATTATGCATGTACATAATGTTAAATCATAAATAGTAAGATGGAAAAAGGTCTAGCAGTTGAAAAAATATATTTTGCAAAAATATCTACAAAATGTTCATTAGCCTGCAAAATTTTTTTTATTCTATTTCTGTGAATACTTTATATCAATATTAGAATAGTCAAAAATGTCAGAAGTTATATAAGTATGTTTAATATACCTTTTATTGAAGTTTTCATACCTTTTTATTAAAGTTTTTACATTTTCAAAAGACTACCTGATTCATTTACTTATTCTTGGACACCAATTGTGTATTTTAATTGAGGATGATAACTAGTATATATTGGGAGCTTATCATAATCCCAGTTAGTTATTTCATTTACTTCTCATAGCAAGCCTTATTGTTCCCATTTTGCAAATGAAGAAACAGAGACTCAAAAAGGATAAGTAAATTTACCTAAGTCAATCAACTAATAATTGGAAGAGCCAGGATTAGAAGCCTGTAATCTTTTTAATATAGTCTTCTTTTCTTTTTTAAAGTCTTAAACTGTATTATTTTTCCAATGTAGTTTTTCATTTCATACACCAGCTGGTTTAAAGTAATTAGCATGTTGATGATGATTCTTTTTAAGTGACCAAACCAGAGCATGGGATACAGAATCTGGTTCTAGTGTTAGTTTTACCATTAGCTCGCGGAATATGATCTTTTAAGAAAACAGAATCCTTATGAGGTTCTAGTTAATCTCTTAAATGGAAGGTCTCTTCTAGATCTGAAAAAAATGTATGTTGATTGAAGAAATAGGAATTTCACGCTGATTTATCACCTCTCTCCTTAGCATTCTGCCTCTCGGTTTAATTTTTAGAACTCATTCCATTTGTTACTAGGAAATCATGGACTTTTTTTTTTATTATAGTTTGTAGAATTCAGTTCAGCCATTATTGTCCACAATGTGCCAGTTGCTCTATTAGGTGTAGAGGATATAGATATGAATAGGATAATCTACTCTTAAGGAACTTATGGTCTCTGGTAGATTGTATGAATCTCTACTGATATCCTGACATGGAAAAAGTTGTATTTTCCTTCCTTTTTTTGGAGGAGAAATGGAGAAGAGAGAAAGAATCAATGATTAGATTTGAAAATAGTTTCTGTGATATTCGTAATTTTTTTTTGTAAAGCAGAAATGTAGAGGTCATATAATAAAGTATGTAAATGAAGTATCAGCAGCCTGTGTAATTTGTTTAAACACCATGGCAATTAAAGCATGCTTGTCCCTACAAGAATAATTATAAAAGCATGTGTTTTGCTCTGT